CTGTGAAAGGACAGTGCCTCTGATGGTGGGCAAAGCTTTGTTCCCATTTTAGACTGCTAAATGACGCAGGCATGAATGAGTCCCCCAGCTCAGGAATGCTGTGGCACACAGTGCCCATGCAGCTCTCTGTGGGTGTTTCTTCCTTCCCTGCACAAAGCTCTGTCCCTCTGGGGAGTCTTGCCTCAACACATCTTGACTTTGACTCATCACAGCTGTTTTATGCAACTAAAAATCTGGTTCCAGCTATCCTTTATGCAGCTGCCTTGGCTTATTAGCCAATAGTTCTTGAGTATTTAAGATTTTATAGCTTTTGAGGGGAAGAGGAGGGAGCCTGACACAGCTGGCAGCTTTGCTGGCTGTGTGTCACAGGAGTGGCAGTCGCCTGTGTCTGTGCCAGGCCTCCCTGGCATCAGCTCTTTGGTCACCACATTCTCGTGGCTCTTTGTGGCCACTTAGTCAAACAGAACTTTGGGCAATTACTGAAATGAAGAATGCAAATGTTCTCTACAATCCTGGATCCAGTCTTTCTTCCCTAACTATCAGTGGGAAATTTCCTACTGAAATGAATATAGCTGATTGTATGTGAAACTTTTTCTGTACTCTGGAAATGCTGAACTTTAATTAGAATTTTTTTTTTTTTTTAAATCCTGGCCACTTTTTTCCTGTTGATTTCTAAGTTAAATAGATAGAAAAATAGATATTTTTTATCCTACGTAGTCCAAAGAGTGTGAGGGTGTGGGGAAATAATCAAAACCACACTTTCCACCACTTTCATTTATCACTACTAGGGCTTTGTAATGGGATGTAATTTTGCATTTTTATTCAAAGTGTTTTTAATCTATATTTTTAAAATCTCGAAGTGAATACATAAATTAATCAGCTCCTGTAATCCACTCATGTGTGACTGCAATGTTCACTGAAGGCCTCTGGAAAAATTGAATCACTTTATTCAACATCCAATCCTACATTAGATATTAGTAATTCCAGAATGTTTTACTCCCTTGAATTGCACTCTTAGCAGGGCATGTTTGTCATTCTCACTCTTTTTGTGGTGTCACCAAAGCTGCACATCTACAGTCCTATATGTGAGAATAATAAATGCCATTAAATGTGTAAAGGATTGTTTCTCTCAGTCATTATTTTTGCAGATTGGGTTGCCTGTAATGGTTTGCAGAAGAACTTAATGATTCTTCTCCTCTAATTCTGCTCTTTGAGCAATCCAACATAGAATCTCCCTTTTTTCACATGTGATCCTTTGCAGATTGCTTTATCAGCAATCCTCCTGCCTGCTCCATTGCCTCAACTCATCCTCGAGTTGTTCCAAGCCTCTCTCTCTGCAAGATGGAAAGCTGAGGTGAGTACAAGTGGGTCTGGCAGGAAGTCATGTTGCATCTTGCTGGGGCAGGGCAAATCTCATAAGAAAAAATTTGCATTTGGATGTTGGCTAATTGACATATGCTACAGCTGCAGAGCAGTGGGGTCTACCTGGCTGTCAGGGAGAAGAGCAGAGCAGCTGACGCCTCTAGAGCTTTATCCAAGCTGTCCACATATGCTGACAGGCGGCAGTGACATATGCTTTTCTGCTGTCAAAATTCAGTCTTTCCTCTACAATTATAGTGCTAAAAAATATCTATTATACACTCAGGTTCTGGATGCCAATTCTATGATTCAGTGTGGCGAATTTGAGATGAAGATCAATAAGAGTTTGACTTTTGTTTATTGTCATTTCTATAGGAGAAAATGATTTATTTAAATGTCAGAAACTCAAATTTACGCATGTCTTTAGAAATGAAAAATGGAACCAAACTACATGTCCTCTTTGCTCCACTAGAAATTGATGAAATAAAATTGCAAAATAGCCCTCATCACCAGCAGAGAAATTATTAATAACTGGTTAGGCAAAGAGTAGAGATGTGATTGGATGGCAGGGAGTTCAAATTTTATTCTCAGGCTTGAGAGTTAACATTAAATTCATCAGGGTTGCATATTTTTACTGAAATTTGGGAGTTCTGACACTGCTAATGGTTTGAATAGTTTTTTACTCATTACCACTGTAATTTTAATATACTTTCATTAATTGAATTGCTAAATGCAATGGTACTAATTCCTCATGACACCTGTTCTGCAGAAACTGAAATTAAAGTTAACATCAGTAAAGTGTGAGTAGGTTCAATTCTTATTAAAGTACCAGCCATAGAAAATAGGGATGGACGGGGCTGAAATAAGGAAATGTAGGGCTGGAACTGAAGGACAGTAACACAAGATGGCATTCTTAGCTGCTGTGGGGAGGCAAATGGCTCTGGCTCAAGACTTTCAAAAAGGGCATAAAGATATTCCTGCCACCCAGACCTCAGTGCCTGTTCCACCAGGCAACTGCTTTCAGGCAGCTAAGAAAATCTTCCTGCACTGAAAATTTTCCTGTCTTTCTCTAGTTACAAGATCCGTGGTTACAATGCAGAGATAAAAAAATCTTGCGGCCTTTTCTCCTATTTATTGACTGGGGTGGCCTTCTAGAGAACTTTACATGCCTTGTGGTAGCTGTAATCAGGAGGCCTCCTTTGATGTCCCTCACAGGGATAGTCAACAGTCTGCAGTCCAGCAAATGTCCTGTGTGGTCTACCAAACCTTCTGGAGAGGATTTCTAGAGAAGAGAGAGCAGTAATTGGCTATTCACAGTTTTTGACATTAGACTTTCCCATGTTGTTTTTCCACACTAACCTGGATGGCTGCTTAGCTGCTTTGTTACAGCATCCAGGAGGCCCTTTGTGGAGTAGTTTTGTACTGTGTGCTGTTGAGGAATACATCCCATGCAGGCAGCTCAGTGTGCAGATGCAGATTGAGCCCTGGGTGACAGGAGCCCCAGGCAAGAGGCTGGGAACTCTGAGCACTCAGAGACACGACAGGAGCTGATGACCCCAGACTTTTGTGTGCTTAGACTGTAAGAGTATAAAATCTATAAAATTTCTTCCTTTGTTCAGGATCCCTCCTTGGAGGCACCCAACTTGAGCTCAAAGTGTTATTTTGTTGATGCAGCATGATTAAATTATTTTAAAATTGAGATATCTGAGGCTCTGCTATGGGAAACCTTGGGTTGAGCAGAAAGGGAAACTTTCTGCTCAACTCTGTCTGGCTATGTGACTGCAGGGTTTGTAGCTCTCTAGGGCCTCAGTCCCAGCCCAGGTGGTGTAGATGTGGCTGCCAGAGTGGCTCCAGGACTGACAGACAGGGAAGTTTCCTGCACAGTGGCTGAGCACCTGTCAGTCAGAGGCATATATTGATTCAATCCCTTCCAGTGCTCAGTGATCTACCTGCTGGTCTCTCATAGACAAAGTTGTAGATGCATGCAAGAAAACTTAAACTTAGTTACTAAGACATGGCTCTGATGATTTTTAATTTCATGCCTGATACACAGAGCAAAAACCAAACTGTTTTGGCTGAAAATCACTTCTTATATGTCTTCTCTCTGTGCAAGGTCAGAGTGTTGTTCCACCTCATGAGTGCATTTACATCTCTCACATTGAGAATGTCACAATTGGGGAATATGTAGGAAATGTTTGTTGACATTAGGTCAGGTGGTGATACAATTCCAGTCCTTTGGTTTGCCTCACATATCCACCCATATAACATAAAACAATGGTAGCCAGAAAAAAAGGACTTGAAATAACTCAAATGGAGAGAAGATAAAAGAATATGTGCAAGATACATAATGCAAGAATTAATTCTTTTGTGGTGAAATGTATGTGCTGACTACAATTAAACTATCACCTACACAGATGCATACTGGACATGACTATGTTTGCAAATGTGTTTGTCTATATACAGTAATAGAAAAATAATGTGGAGCTTGCAAGTGAGTAAATTGATGGGAGCATGGGTTTCAGCTTTTGGGTTTTAGGAAAGTACATAGAACATCTGTTAACAGAGAACTGGGAAAATCTAGGTGGAGAGATACTAGAGGATATAGGCAAGATTTTGCTGCTTTAATACAAATCTCCATCTGGCCAGTATTACTGTGTGCCTGAATACTTAATGCTACTTATAAAAATTGTGATTTCAGTTATCTTCTGGCCAGTTCTCTGTTCTCTTCCCTCTTTGGAATTTGGCAGAAGGTCTATATACATGAAATAGTAATTTGTATCCCTGAAGACTGTGCATTTCGGTTAAAACTGCATGTTCTGCAAAGCCAGCCTTGGCAATATCATGTTCCTTGGCTAAGCCCTTTGCCTTTGGTGGTTAACCCTACACCAGGGTCACAGAGCTGATTTCCTCAGCCAGCTGAGTTTCATTCATTGGTGCTACAGGGAATGGTGCTACCAGGACCCTTCCCTGGTCCTGGCACTTCTCTGCTTTGGGCAGCTGGTGTTGATGCAGTGATATTTGGATATTTGAGTAGCCACAAATATTGGAGAGGAGTTAAAAGCAGCAGCAGTGCTCAACTCTGAAACCTCCTTTTGCTGTCCTTAAGACGTAACTATGGTAACTTTTTGCTACAGTGCCTCCGTCAGGGTCATAAAGATGGACAAATTCTGGGCACCAAAATTTCATTCCATTTTAGAGATGATTTGCAGAGTTCAATGTGAACCACTGAGTCATTAAAAAATCATTGAGAGGGTGTTGTAGTTTTGCATCAGCAGCAGGCTCTCAGGCTGTAACATCCAAGCTTGTCGTTCTAGCTTCTAGAGCCGTTACCGATTGATCCCTGTATCGTTTCTCCCTGGAGTTTCTGATTCACTCTTTAGTTACAGAGGAGATTTTATTAAACGCTGTTTTTCTTGCTGAGGAGGTTTTATTAAAGGTTGTTTTTCTTGCTCCCTCTAAAGGAAAGTCCTTCCAAAGACAGGATTGTTGGCACATATGAATTGTGTAATGCTGAACTGATAGATGAGCTGTCATCAGGGTACAAACCTGTGACTGTTAGAACAAAGGTTGGCAAATTCAAATGGGAAATAAAGTCTTTTTTTTTTTTAAAGCAAGGGAAATTAATAATTGAAACAACTCACCTATGGATCCAGTCAGGAACAGATGTCTTCCTAAAAGCTGTGCCCCAGTTCAACAAGATGTTATTGAGCACCATGCAGTAATCCACTGGTGAAATTCTCTGGGCTACATTTGGCAGAGGTCAAGAGCAGGGGATTCAATGGTTTCTGCTGAATCAATAAAGCAAAACCAAACTGCCTCTGAAGGAGCAGCAAACAGCTTTTCTCTGTAGATCAGGTGTTAGAGCAGAGAAATGTAGCATTTGACAAGTGTGCTGTATATAGTAATTAAATTGCTTCTATGCTTATTTTCAACTTTGTACTCCCTCTTCTCAACTGCATTTTTTATCCTATATTTTCTCCCTTCATTTTCTCTCCTCTTTTATCGCTTTCTATTCCAGAGCCTTCAAATTGGAGCTGAACTTTTGAACCATACATAGAGTTTGTTTATCTTTAATCACCAACACACACTGTAGTGCTCCATCACATGAAAATTTTACAGCAGACTTCCTAAAATTACAATATAAGGATGGAATGGACAACCTTTAGGATAGAAACTGTTTAAAATATCATAGAAAAAGAAATTATGGCAACAAATCGTAATGATTCAACTAATTTACTGGTGGCAGCCAAGGGCATGTGCTAGCAACTGCAGCATTTGTATCAAAGGGAGGTGGGCTGAGTTTGAACTGCTGGCAGCAGTTCAGATGAATTTCACTTTGTGAGTGAGGCCCTCTCTTCCTGCAGGGAATGGGAGCTGTTACCTTCTGCTGGAGCCTTGGCTTCTACTGACCAGAACACAGTCCAGCCTGCACAGTGTAGACTGTTGCAGGTGCTCAAGCAGTAGGACCTATTTACATGTTGCTATTTTCTGGTGTGAACGTAGCAACAAGCCTGGGGGGTCTCTGCAGGGCATTGTGCTGTGAGCTTTATGCATTGCCAGGGTGTGTTTTCTTCTGCTTGTTTGTATCCCTTCTTCTGCTGTCTCACATGACAAACCAGTCTGTAAGCTGCTCACAGCAGGTACTGTCTTTCTGTTCTGTCTTTTAATTATACAGAAATTGTAATGCCTGACTGGGAGTCCTAAGTGTTATGATGGTAATTGCAATAACACTTCAGTTACTTTGGCATTGATTAACTGGGCCAGGCTATTGATACCAAGTTAACCACATTTGCCTCCTGAATCTTTCAAACAGCAAGTTGCAGCATAATGGCCTGAAATTTCCCTATCTGAAAATAATTTGCCAGTATTAAATGTATTTTTTAATTAAAAGTGATAATTTCTTTCAGTCATTTGAAAGACTTCCAATTGCCCAGTTATTAGCCTTGCTGCTCTATTTTTATGTATGTAATAATTATTTATGAGATATTATTTATAATAGTCTTATTTACTTTTTATGGCAGTCAGAGCACCATAGATCCCATCTTATTATACAGCCCTTATTCCACTGGCATGGGAATGTGCATAGTTCTCAGGTGGGAACAGCCATTGCTGTCATCTAATCTGAGGCAATTACAAGTGACTTCTGTCCTTGAGTCTGTCTCCAAATCCCTCCCATACTGTCCCACTTACTACACCTGCCTTCCCACATCAGCACACCAGTAACACATTCCTTGGTCATTCCAAGAGGAGTTACCAGCTTCTTTGTTGGCAGCATTCACATTCTTGTAGGATACATCTCTTCATCGGGCCCATTGCTAAGCACTATTTTGCCTGCCTACATTGAAGTCTCCAATATTAAACATTGTTTCAGGGATTAATTATTTTTCCATGATACCTAAGAGTACCTGGACATATTAGAAGTCTCTTTCTGATCCTAATGCCCTGGTAGCATCATCTCTCCCACCTGCACACTCCCAAAACTCACTGTGGAAATGTCAGCATTTACCTGCAGCTCCACAAGAGCTGCTGCAGAGTTGGTGCTGGTCACAATTCAGCAAAATTGTGTAGGTACCCAATGCTGACGTTAGCCTGGAGAGTTATTAGCCTTGAGATGCAGTTGGGTGTAAATGCTTTCTAAATGAAGTGTTCTTGGTATGGATGAGCAGGAGTCTCATAATCTGGCTGATGGCCAGGACCCAGAGACCAGGGAGCCAGAAGAGTTTGCCTCCAACATCTGTTTCCAGTGTGTCTGCCTAACTCTCAATTTATCAACCCTTCACATTATCAAGTTAAAAAAATGCATAAAATAATTGGATTATATATTAAGACTCTTGAGAGAGTTGCTTATTGACCTTCTTCTACTCCAGTGAATTTAGCTGTGAAAAATTGGGTAAAAAGCAGGGCCTTGCTGAAAGCGCGATATTACATCTGAGCAGGGCATTCTTGGATAAGCAGAAATTACTGTGTAAGTAACAAAATGTGAAGAAATAAGATCCAAATTTAAGTGTGGAAATTGTGGACTGTAGAAGTGATTGCTTTTATAAATACTTTTAAATGCATATTTGCACTCTGGGTTTCACTATAAATTGTAATGAAGTGCCTTTAAGTTCAGATGTGAATAAGGCTAAATGTTATTTAGGAAAAAAACCAAACCCAAAACCTTTGAAAAAACAATCTTCCAAGTGAAAATAACTGTGTTTTACCTCCCTAAAAATAACAGGTTTGGTTCTGAATATCACAGAATATCACAGCTGATTCTTGTGCTAAACATTTGCTTTAACCTTTTGGACCTTCCTTGTCATTCATGCTTGATATAAACTAAAGCCATACAAAAACCTAGTGGATTTTAAAAATCTCATACATTCTGTCTGTAATTATCCTGGTGGCATGGTGTGACCTGCTTATTCAATTGTTATTGAGATGAATATGAACTGTTAGTAGACCAAGGTTCAGTGAATACATTAAATCTTGAGGCCTCAATCAATTACCTGTTTCCTCATAGCAGTGTCTAGGATGTCTGGAAAATAAGAAGTATCAGAGATGATTAGAAAATACCTTCTTGGATGTAAAATGTCTCTCAAAAGTTGAAAATCAATTTGATGAGCACTTTTACTGGTGATTTATTGAGTTTAACTTGTTTTTCTCTATTAGAAGAGAAAGCAGAATGTTGCCCTCTTTTCCATGGTCAGTGTGCTGAGGAGGGACAGGCTAGGCTGTGACACTGACACTGCTTTGTGGCTGTACTGGGTTACCAGCACACAGCAGCCTTGGCCAAGCAGGAGCAGAACACCTCTTTTTTCCCTGCCAGAATCCACTTTGTAAGCAGGGCCCAGGATGAGGTGGGGAAGCTGTCACTTCTCAGCAAGCAGCTTCAGAATAGACAGCCAGAAAAGGAAGAGCAGTCACTTTGGTCTAAATTTAAAAGGCAATGCTTTAACCTTCCACAGAATTGGTCAAGTGGCTCTTGTGCTATTTCCCCTTTCAGGAGTCTGACCCAATGGTAGAAAGGGATTTTTAAATATGTAAATATGTTCCTACCATCTACACAGCAATCACCATTATGATTGATCCTTTTAGGGAGCAGAGGGGCACACAGCAACCTATGGAGTGGTTCTGCTTGTGTTCTCCTTGTCTTGGTTCAGTCATTTGACTAATTATTTTTTTCACATGAGCTTCTTTCTGTGTACTTTTCTGTCTATGTATAGTACATAAAGTCTTTCTCACTCACACCCACTTTTTCTTCTTTCCTGGTGGGAGCTGTTCTGCTAATGATACAATCAGGGAATACTGTGGAGAGAAAAAGGGTGAAATTTGCATCATCTGCTGAGCCTGTTAAATTCTGAATGTTCCATTTCATTAATTCTGTATGGCTGTGCTGGAAGAGCAAAGGACTATTCCCATACCCAGGGACCTACTCACCTCCTAGTAAGGCCTTTATTTGGCATATACTGGAAAATTCTAGTTCTAATATGGATGCCAGCCTACAAATGCACATTGAAGTAGACCAATTGGACTGAGAGTTGTGGGTTTCGTTTGTGAGAGTTTGTGTGTTTTGCTAACTGGAGTGTGTAATTATAGCTAATTATTTGGGCAATTCACTAATTCTTTCACATTAGAAGAGGCACCAAGGTTCCTTTTATTTTTTGATCTCATTAGACTTTGCAAATTTTTATGTCTTGTGGACCTTAAAGGAAAGAGGTCACAGAAGTCTATTGCTATATTGCAAAGACCATAGTGTTGTAACAGGACAAGTGTCTTGTCTGGGGCCACTTGGCAGAACTGGGAACAGAACTTGCCTTTTGCCTTTCAGCAAGATCCTCCATCCATCAGTGCCTCTGAAAGAACAGTTAATGGATAGATGAGCCCTGAATTCCTGCTTCTCAGGTCTATACCTCAGTGCACCCTCTCCTAATCTAATAGGAATTTTGATAGTCAAATAAGTATCTGCCTTTATAAGGAAAAAAAAAAAAGTATGCAATAAGATAGGGGAAGCTACTCTTACATGCAGCGATTTCATTAGAAATATTTACATTTTGGAAGTGGCTTCTTGTTCAGTTTTCAGTGTGTTATTTATAAAGATACAACTAGACTGACATTCCTCTGGAAAACAGTTTATCAGGCTGTTCTACACTAATATGATCAGTCATATGCTGTACATCTCTTCTCCTTCTCTTCCTACATATAAATTATTCAGAACTATTATAGCTGAAACTGAGAGCAGATGATTTTATTTCTGTCTTCTGAAATGCTAGAAAGGATTTGGTTTAAAAAGAAAGGGATGACATCCTTGTGAGGTACTAGGAAACAGGGATCAGTTGTGACTGCCAGGCTTACTCCTGGAGAAATGGAAAAATTTGTTAAAAGGATCTCTTTTAGTTAAAAATCTTAGCAGAATTCATACAAAATATTTAAGCTTTAGATCTTCCTATCAAATATAGCAATGAGTACATCAATGTTTACGGAATATTTTCCTAGGATAACTCTATCCCAACTGCCTTAACTGAGATGCTGTTAATGTGGCTTTATAGAAGAAATTTAACCTCTTGCACTGACCCAAAGACTTAGGTCTTTTCACCTGGAAACACTTGATTTAGTCTTTATAATCAAGGGGTTACTGATTTCTGTTGCATACAAATACACAATTCTTTGAACTCACAGTCTGTAATTCCCTCAGGTGCCCAGGTTTTGTCATTAAACAACCTTGAATTGCACTTCCCAGGAGCCCCTGGGCTGAGGACCAATTACTAAACAAATAAATGCCCCCAGGTTGTTTGTGCCTTGGGATGAAATTTGAACCTCTTGGTGGTGGGCTGTTTTGTGC